GCCACCTTAGGTGTATGTGGCTGGCGCCTTAGCCGCTTGAGCCACAGGTGCTGAGCCCTCGCTGAACTTCTTGTTTTTAACAACTTGCTGTAGGGAGGCAGATCTCTCTCTAAACATACTCTTTTCTCCACTTACTTAGTTGTCTTGTGAATAAACCAGGCTTCGTGTTGACCATGAAGCTGTTCAAGATAGGCCAGCTCAATTCCTTTTTCTTCCTCTCTGGCCCTCAGGTATAGTCTCTTCAAACAAACCTAAAAGACAATTCCCAGGACACAGTGAGCTCATTTGCTGTTTGGACTGTTACAGTGCAATCTTAGGAGAGCTCTGAGACCCACTCAGAGCCTATCTTGGGTATTACAAGCCATGACTTTGTTTCTGCTGTCTTGTTTTCTTGTTCAACTAGAGGATCTACACCATTCTCTCTCCACTTCCACCTTAAACTTGCTCTTCTTTTGAGTATCCTAAATTGGTTAATGGCAAACATCATCCACTCAGTTATCCAAGGCAGGGGCCTAAAATGTTCCTTCTTTTTCCTCCTCTCAGCCACATTTAGGAAGTCACTAAATTCTCTTTAATCTCTCTCTGGTTGGTTCTCTCTGTGCCTCTCCTCTCACCTCTGCTCTAGTCAGGTCCTCATCACTTCTCACCTGGCAAGATGAGTCTATGCTTCCTGGAGGCAGAGAAGCATATGAAAAGAGCAAAGCCTTGAGGTCAGAAAGTCTAGTAAATTCCTGCCTTTATAATGTACTAGTGGTGCACTTTGTGGGCTTCAATTTCCTCATCCTCCACCCACCCACATAGGACACCAAGGACTCACTGAGGGAGCGCATGTCAAGCTCCTGGCAAAAGCTGTTCTCTTCCTCCAGTGTGTGTGTTCCCCTTCAGCCCACCTTTCCATAGTACTGCAAAGTAACAGCATTGTGTTCCTTGCTTAAAATACTTTACAGGCTCCATACTGCCTATAGCCATAACCCCAGGGTTCAAGGAAGTATGAGAAGTACCATATTTATAAAGTGGTAATTTGAAATGTCTCTCTCATATCATAGCAACTATGCACTTTGCCACAGAATGCAAATTGCATAGGTCAAAGATAAAACAAAGTAGAGAAAAAAAAAGTGAGGTTTGAGGATAACTCTCCTACCGTCCCCCTCTGCAGAGAGTGCACATAATTCTATATTGCATTCAGTTAGTAGGAAATTGTGACCCATAGTAGCTCAGAAAGATGTCTTCTTTAGCTGTCACATAAGGCCACCCCTCCTACTTCTCTTCAACTTCCTTAGCTCCTTTCTCCTGGACTCAACTGCTTTAGCCAGATCTGACCTCCTTCCTGAGGGACAGGACAAACTCTCTCATGCCTCAAAACTTTTGCTCCAAATGTCTAAAAGTTTTGCTTAAATTGCCCTCATTCTTCTGTCTGCCTGGCAAACATTTCATTATTCAATGTCATCTGTCCTGGAAGAACAGATAGACTAATCTGATTCAGGACTTTTCTCTTTCAAATACTTAAAACTTAATTCCCCAATGTAGTGTATAATATTCCCAAAGACTTGGGGTCTTTGATGTTTCCCACTTATCTTTCTTTTAAGGAAATAAAATTGTATAAATAAATTTCATTTGTGACCAAAAGGAATGTGTACTTGCTATTATATATTGCCAAACTGCCTCCTTAGTGGTAAACCAATTTGTATTACCACCAGCAAGGCAGCTTTAGGAGTTCTAAACATACAGCAAAGCTATCTAATTTTCCGAAGAAAAAAAGGTCTGAATTAGTGAAAATATTTTTTAAACATGGCTTTATGTTTTCAAGTATATACAAGAGCAGAGCAGTTCTTTTTACAAAAGGTATTTATAATTATTGGTTGCAGGCATACATTGATGCTAACCTTTATCTCCTCCTATTAAAATAGGCTAACATTTAGCCTGGGCAAAGGGGCTCACACCTGTGATCCTAGCACTCTGGGAGGCCAAGGCAGGCTGATTGCCTGAGCTCAGGAGTTCAAGACCAGCCTGAGCAAGAGCTAGAGCCCATCTCTAAAAATAGCAGGGTGCTTGTATTCCCAGCTATTGGGGAGGCTGAGACCTCTAGAGAATCACTTGAGCCTAAGAGTTTGAGGTTGCTGTCAACAACAATGCCATGGCACTCTACTCAGAGTAACAAAAT